CCTAAGCTTAGTTCATAAGATTATGTACCAATATGTCCTACCTGTAAATGAATACTTTAATTCAGGGGTGGGTTCTAAATTATTTTACTACCGGTTCTTTGGACGTGGCTTATTTTCTGGGGGTAATGTGACTGGGTGGGCGTGGCCAACTTTTTTTTTCTTTTTACTTTTAAAAGCATTTTTTCTACAACCTTAAGAGGTTACAGAAAAAAATGCTTTTAAAAGCCTCTGACGATCAGGCAACTCAGCTGGGATCGCCAGAGGCTTTTAAAGACATTTTTTTTCTACAACCTCTTCGGCTGAAGAGATTGCAGAAAAAAATGCTTTTAAAAGCCTCTGACGATCCCATCTGAGCCACACGATCATCAGAGGCTTTTTTTTTTTTACTTTTAAAAGCATTTTTTTGGCCCAAGAAGTTGTAGAAAAAATGCTTTTAAAAGTTAAAAAAAAAAAAGCCTCTGATGAGGTAGGCGGGGTAAGTGAGCGGCGATTAGGCCGGGGACCAGTTCGGGGGCGTGGCCAGCCAATGTTATTACTGGTTCTCCGAACTACTACAAATTTTTACTACCGGTTCTTGTGAACCGGTGTGAACCGAGAGTAACCCACCACTGCTTTCATTTCAACCACAATAACACAAGGGCTATCAATAGATTCAAACTCAATGTAATTCACTCTAATCTTGATTGTAGGAAATATGACTTCTGCAATAGAGTAGTAAATGTCTTGAACACTCTACCTGATCCTGTTGTTAGTCTCTCTAATCCCCATACCCTTTACATTAAAACTGTCTACCATGGACCTTTCATGTTTTTAAAGAGGTCCCTAAGGGGGCGTGCATAAGCGCACCAGCATGCTTACTGTCCCTGTCCTACTGTTCCCATTTATATGTACTCATTTTATGTACTCATTTTATGTACTCATTTTATGTACATTTTATGTGTTATGTTTTTGCTTATTTGTTTCCTTTTATTTGTGCCAAAAAATTTTAATGTGTCCATGTCTATGTCTCTACTGTTACTTGTTTCCTTGTACTTGTTGACAAATAAATAAAATAAATAAATAAATAAATAAGATGGGGAGGAGACAGTCCATCTATTGCCTGAAAACCTTCTCCAATCATAATATCTTTGGTCTGGGCTACCGAGTCAATGAGCCTCCTTCATTCTCAAATTCTCCCCAATCAAAGAGAGCTTTGCTTTTTTGAAGTTAGTGCTTCATCGCTTGACATCTGATTCTGACACAGCAGTGGGAAACTGCAGCTATTAACTAATGATGAAACAGCAAAACTTCTCAGCAGAGGACAGAATGTGTTGGGTCAGCAGATTCTGCCAAGAGACTCAACCAGAAAAACCAGCTGCCACTACTTGAGATGGTAGAGTACTTACCTGTTCTCTGATTTAAGTATCTCAGATGAATATGTAGTTGAGAGTCTGTGTTTGAATCTGAGCTTCAATCTTTTTCCTCATCAGCCACAATACAGGTAGTCCTTGACTTACCACAGTTCATTTAGTGACCATTCAAAGTTGCAACAGCATTGAAAAAAGTGACTTGTGACCATTTTTCACATTTATGACTGTTGCAGTATCCCCATAGTCACATGATCAAAATTCAGATGCTTGGCAACTGACTCGTATTTATGATGGTTGCAGTGCCCTGGAGTCATGTGATCACTTTTTTTTTACCTTCTGACAAGCAAAGTCAATGGGGAAACCAGATTCACTTAATAACTGTGTTACTAACTTTACAACTGCAGTGATTCACTTAACAACTCTGGCACAAAAAGTCATAAAATAGGGCAAAATCCACATAAAAATGTTTCACTTAGCAACAAAAATTTGGGGCTCAATTGTGGTCATAAGTCAAGGACTACCTGTACAGTAAAAGATTGATCTTTGAGCTATTTCATATTGTCTTTCTTCACTAATTATTTACAATATCTTTGGAACCCCAGTTTTATCCCTGTTCCCAAGAAATCAGCCAATGTGCTTATCTCCAAGTTCAAGCCATGATGCTCTTTATCTCGATACATGACATCAAGCAGACAGCAAAAGAGTCAGAGCCAAGCATTCTTGTGCCATTGTGTTCAATTCTTTTTACTATCATGCCAAGGTCTAGGTGTAGCTAAGGATTACGAAGAATGAAAGGATATGAGAAAGAGGAATGCCTATTGAAAAACAGGAGGGTGGAGCAAGCTTTGAAAATGCGTAATAACTTTTCAGTGGAAACTCCCCTTTGACAATAAAATTAAGAAGTGGGTCATCATACAGGAAAAGGGAGCAGTATAAAAGCAACACTTAGTTTTACCACCTCAATTAATTCAAAAGCCCCATAATAAACCCGATGTAATTGAGTATTTTCTCCCAGTGTAATATTAACCATCATCTAGCCAATTCTGAAATATTAGAAAGCCTTATTTTCTTGTTGGTAGTTTGGCACAGCAATATTTGAATGTCTTGGATAGAAAACAATTTGCTATTAGGGAAATTCACATTAACTATTTGATGATTGAGGATTAGGATACTCCCAACTTTTTTTGGGAAAACAGTTGAACAAAAGAGGGCAAACCGGAGGCAGCCAGAAAGTTGAAATGCATGACCACACTCCTTTGAGAGCATTTGTTAAGAGGTCTGTTTGAAAATTCTTTTTAAAAATATGTGGTTTCTTCATCTCAGGCTACTGAAACATCATAGAAAAAGGTATGAGAGTTAGCAAGATCAAGTCTTGTTTAAAATTCCACGGGGGAAAAAACTAACTCTATAGACATAATATACTTGATTTCCTATTCAAAACCTAAATATTGTTCATAATTATTTAAACTGAGACTTTAAATCAGGAAAAGGAAGCATCTCACAACATGTCACTTCCACAAGGAGAACTGTTTTAATGTCATATCAAATAATAAAATAACACTCCAGAGAATCTCAAAAATATAAATTTTTATTACCACATAAACTTTTTGTAGATAGCCAGTTTGGTATAATGGCTAAAGGCTCTGGGCTAGAAACTGTTCTGGTCCTGCCTTAGGCACAAAGCAAACTGAGTGACTTGGTCAATTTGACAGAATAATAAAGTTGGAAGGAACATTGGAGATCTTCTAGTCCAACCCACTGCTAAAGCAGGAGATCCTATACCATTCTGGACAAATGGCAGTCCATTCTCTTCTTAAAAACTTCCAGTGATGGAGCACCCACAACTTCTGAAAGCAAGCCATTCCACTGATTAGTTGTTAGTAGCAACTAACCAGTGCCCGCATTTCCCTTAAAAGGTAGCTAAAAGCCAGAGACCAGTGGGAAGGTTTAGATAGCTGCCATTGATGCTCCAGACTTTTCAATTGACAACTAGCCTCGGTATGATTGCTCTTGCATTGTAACTGGATCATGATGTCTACGATTACATAAATCAGACGTTGGGGTAGGGTAGCTAAATCTGGACTGCAAAATCTGAGTGGCCCTGAGATAGCAAGAAAGAGGTGGCTGATTTCTTTTCTGTCTTCCTCCCATGCTACTAGCATGGTCAACTGATATTTTGTTACCTGCACAACATTTTTGGGCTCATGTGTGGGCAGGGTTTATCTTGCTGAACTTCCTGTCAGCTATCTGTGATTTATCTTGTTGACGCAACCAATTCAGAGGAAGAAGGAGAACTTGTTACTGTAGCAATTTGGAGCACCTCCAAATAATATTCATACAGAATACAAAAGATAGAAGTGACCTCAAGCAAATATGTCCCTAAACTGGAAATCAGATAATCTGATTACAACACTTTTTAGGGTGTTGTAAAATCTTTTCATAGAAGATTATCTTATTCCATGGATCTAAGAAACATTATAACAGAAGAGTCTGCTATGGGTTATGGCAAAGCCAAAATGGCAGAATGCACATGCCCATCACAAACACACACACACACACATACACAAACTAAATAAACTCCACTGAAACTAAATAAACTCCACTAATAAACTCCACTAAATAAATTCCACTAATAAACTCCACTAAATAAACTCCACTAATAAACTAAATAGACTTACTTTCAATGAGTTTCAACAGATTCTTCAAAGGAACTTAACATTTTTATTTATTTAAAAAAATTATTGGCCACCCATTTTACCTTAAGATAACTCTGGGAGGCTTACAGACATAAAAACATATATCTAAAATTAAAAAATTGAATAAATTAAAACCAAAGATTAAAGTCAAGGACATGGGGAGAACAGGAGCAGAATGGGGGGACGTGGGGTCTGTTGTTACTTGATCAACTACCTCCACTTTGCTGTTCTCCCATTGGGGCCCCAGCCAACTGGCAGAGTTAAGTCTTTAGGCCTTACAAAAGGATGGGATGGGAGGGTTGGGACCAACCTTACTTCAGGAAAGCAAGATATTCCAGAGGGCAGGAGAAACAGCAGAGAAAGCCCTCCTCCTGGACCTGCAAAACAGAATAATCTGGTTGACGGGACCTGCAGCATGCCTCCTCTGCCGGTGGGACCGGCCAATCCCAGTGGATGTAATAATTGTTATTAAAATCCATCCTTCCCTTATATAGTCTGCTATATGGTGCATTGCTTATATATGATGCCCAAAGCTATTTCACCGCCTTAGATATCTGAGAATTTTTACTGTTTTTAATACAGTGAAAAGAAGAAATTTATCTCCCTACATTGGAGTTGATCATGACAGTTTTATAATCTGATCCATGATAAATGTTATAAAATCAGCTAGTTTTATATATGGTGAGGATAACTTACATTTTATTGTATTAGATTTTGTTTCTTTCTAGTCTTTCTTTCCCAAAATAAATAACTTTATAATGATAGAAATAAGTAACACATCTTGTCAGATCAATCTCTATATACAATAAACAGCGAGAAGCATAATGTAATATATGGCTTACTGAGACAATTCATTTTAAGAAACAAAGAATAAAATAGATCAGGGGGAAATGCTTTATTTTTAAACCACATCAGGTTATAATTAATTTAAATATGTGTTGCCATTCTCTTCCAGGTTTCTCTACCATCAGTTTAAGGAATAAATCACACATTATAATCTGGATCCAAAAAAGTGACAGCAGAAGAGTGATTCCCGTTCACTCTACCCAAAGCCTCTCCTCACAGGGTGAGTGAATAGCATGAACATCTGGGATGTTAGGAATCGCTTATCCAAGTGGGAAAATAATTCCTTTGATTAGAGTGTTCACTCATGAAATGGATCTTGTTCCAATGTTAAACTAGCTTCTTTTCCTCTTAAACCATAGATATCACATCCTACAATATTCAAGGAGACTGGAGGGATATTTATAAAAGACTGGAGACTCTTTATGGACGTTTTGTAGAAAATGGATAAAAATGATTTGTGATTTTTGGATTTATTGATCAAAACGTTTTGTTTATGGGAAGAAGGGAACCATAATGTGTAATTTGGGAGGGCAGAAATGGTAATTACTGTGCTTGTACTTGCTACAAAGAAGATTTTCAATGTAGAGAAAAGCAGAGTCCTACACTTAGGTAAGAAAAACCATAAAGGACACATATAAACTGGGGGAAACCAGGGTTAATAGCAGTGACTGTGAGAGGGATCTTGGAGTCTTAGTGGACAATCAGCTAAATATAAGCCAGCAGTGTGCAGTGGCAGCTAAAAAAGCCAATGCAATCCTAAATTGCATTAACAGAGGGACACAATCAACATCAAGTGAGGTACTAATACCACTCTATAAAGCCCTAGTAAGACCACACCTAGAGTACTGCATCCAGTTTTGGTCACCACACTATAAAAAAGATGTTGAGACTCTAGAAAAAGTGCAGGGGAGAGCAACCAGGATGATTAGGGGACTGGAAGCTAAAACATACGAAGAACGGTTGCAGGAACTGGGCATGGCTAGTCTAGTGAAGAGAAGGACCAGGGGAGACATGATAGTAGTCTTTCAATACTTGAGGGGCTGCCACAGAGAGGAGGGGGCAAGCTGTTTTTCAAAGCACCTGAAGGCCAGACAAGGAATAATGGATGGAAACTGACCAAGGAGAGATTCAACCTAGAGACTTTCTGACAGTGAGAACAATCAACTGATGGAACCGCTTGCCTTTGGAAGTTGTGGGAGCTTCATCACTTGAGACTTTCAAGAAAAGATTGGACTGCCATTTGTCAGAGATGGTGAAGGTCTCCTGCTTGAGCGGGTGGTTGGACTGGATGACCTGTAAGGTCCCTTCCAACTCTTAATCTGTTAAAGAATCTGTTAAAGATTGGAAGTCTCTTCTTTAGATATCTTTCTTTGTCTTCTTCTTTGTTTCTTTTTTCTTCTTTCATATTTCTTTTTTCTCTTTTCCCTTTTATGTTTCTGTAGTTTCTAAATCCTAAGAAGAAAAGACTGAAGAACATCTGGAAAGAGAACAAAGAAAGCTATCTTCCATCAAGCTTCTGCTTCGGATGCATTCCTAGATTTGAACCTGGATTTTTTGATGTGTATAGTACTTTGCACTTAATATATACACATGAAATAGGTCTTCCAATAGGAATCAGTACATGAAGCACAAATACATGGAGTGAAGACTTTCAGGATTTCTAGGGCTCATGATCAAAAGGACTCTTTCCTACAGAAGCTCAAAAGGATTCATGCATTCATAAAGCCTGTGGACTTCATTAAATGTTCAGTGTGAAGAGGAAAAAAATAAGTGGCTTCCAACTCACATGCTGAATTTACCAGTAATTTTAACATCTGAAAAACATACTTAGTAAAGAATAAAACCTACAGAACATATTTAACCTTACTTTTGAAAAGGCAATCAAAACAACACAGAGAGAGGATAAGTTCGCTACTAGCACTGATGACACATGAAGGGACTTACAAAAACTCAAAGATGCAGTCGTCATAAAATTATGCCCATCAGAATACAAAGAATCGGAAGCGGGTGAACAATTGAACAATAACAAATACAAATGAAATTATGCTGCATATGAATAAGACAAACATATATTTTGGAAATATATTTATCATCATATGTTTACCTCATCTTTTATATTATCATATCATCATATAATCAGCATTAATTGCAGTTCTAGCCAAGTACACATTCGGTGGCAGATTTGGACTTGCTGACACATGCCGTGTACTGACTGCTTATTATCCATTTCACCTTCCTACATCCCCTTTAGAACAAGTTGTGTTTCTCAATGTTAGCAATTTGAAGATGTGTGGACTTCAACTCCCAGAATTCCCCAACCAGTACGGCTGGCTGGGGAATTTCATCTACAAACTGCCAAAGTTGAAAAAAACATTGCTTTAGAGCAAGGGTGTCAAACTCACGTCATCATGGTGCCATCATGTGATGTGTCAGGACTTTTCCCCCCTTTGCTAAAAGGGAGGTGGGGGTGGCCAGTGCATGATGCATTCGGCCCTCGGGCCAGGAGTTTGACAGCCCTGCCTTAGACTGACTACAGTAGAGTCACCAACTGTTCGTACTGCAACATATTTTCAGCAGCGTATTTATGTAGGAAAATGAAGTAAGGAGTGTGTTTTGGCAATAATGCTAAACCTGTATTTTTTAAAGACATAACTCTCAACATGACAAGTTAAATCAGTCTCATTCCTGGAGGAATAGCAATGAATCACAGCAGAATGTTATTTTCAGGTGTACCGAACACTTTCTGTTAAGTCTACTCTCAGCATATGCAGCTCACATAAAGGGACAAATACTGAATTCAAAAGAGCAGTACAATGACACCTTGAGACCCACTTCTGATGCCATGCAGCTTTTCTCAGCTTAACAGTCCTTATTTTCTAATCGCAACATCTGAGACAGGAAAAACTTTAGTATGTAAACTGAGTTGCAAGCTGCTTCTAAGTACATGCTCAGCCCAAGAATTCTAACAAGATCCTAACTTAAAATATCTCTCATAAAAACACTCACTCCTGATTTTTCTCATGATTTTTTCTCCTAAGCAATCTGATTTAAAGAAAAGATGCTTTTCATTTTTTGCTGTTATACACTTGGTGGACAGAAACTTTTATATATACATTATCTAGAGATCTATCATGTGCTTGCCCTTAAAGAATGTTTAACTGTGTTAATTGCTTTGGACATTCAATTGCATGACAAAATAGTTACTTCCCTGGACCAAAGAGATTTTGATATAACTAATGCTGAAGGCTCAACTTGGCTTCATGGATATATTTCAGTCTTCATCAAGTGGAAAAGACCAAGTCCACATGAAAATTCAATTAAGCTGATTTATTGCTGAAAGCCTATCACAGAAATCTTCTTAACTAATGGCCTGCACCTGGTGAGAGTTAGATAAGAAGTAACGGGTACTCAAAGGGAGGGGGTGTCTTAGTTCACTTGTGGCTATGCAGGGATTCTAGGCTGATTTCACTTTTCACTCCACCCCCAGGTTCTGCAGTTCCTTCTCCTACAGTCTCACATGAATCCCAGTTCACAGGAAGATGCTGCTGATTCCTCATGTTGGACTAGTCTTTAATTGAGTAACTCAAAAAGTGTTGTGCAAAATTGACTTGTCTGATTGCAACAAAACCAACTTCTCTTACTAGGGAAAAGACAATACCTCTACCAGGGCCAACTGATATGGATTGCTAATATAACCAACACTGAAGGATGGTTTGTACTACTAATTTCATACTCAAAATATAAATCATTCCCAAAAGTTAAGATTTTTTTTTAAGTGGAAGTGAGATTCGTGTGGAGCCTGGAGCCTGTAACTCTGACCATATTCACTTTGGGGTAATCTCCATCCAATTTCATGGAACTATCCTTTTGAGTAAATATAATTTATACTGAATTGCAAGTATTACATTCTGCTTTATCTGAAGATGCAATTGACTCTCCTCCCACCGAGATGGGCAATGTTGCATCACTGCTAAATTATCTCTCTGGAGTATTATGCTTTCAACGGATTCCATATTAAGATGTAAATAAATGCACATAAATTACAATTTTAGTCTGCAAATCCCCTCCCATCTCACTTCCTGAGAACCTGAAATCTAGCCACAGATGACATGTGCTGAACACAAAGAAAACACACATGTCTAACTTTACAGCAGTTTCGTAACAAGAGTGTCATAATTATGGGAGGCAATCATTTCTTTTTTAAAAAATTAGTAGCACAAATCCATATCAAACTCAGTGACCAACATAGTGCTTTCTTCTGTGAGAAGGGATCAGAGCTCTTGGCTCACTACCAATCTCTGCAATTATTAGCACCCTAGTAGGTCTTAACACCAAGCTTGATTGAACAAAGTACTCATGCTTCAGTGAGCTTATTTAGAACATCAGCACAGAAACTAACAGCAGGTTCCACAAGCAACAACTGACAGGCTAATGATGAGCATCTTCTCTCTTTTAGGGTCACAACATTTCTTTGTCAGAGAATCCTCTGGTGGGGAGATGCAGGGCTCTGAGTGAATCCTCTCTTTTCCTGCTCATGCAGAAGAAAAACTAAAGCAGAGAATGCAAGATGGGTGGGAACCAACATGGTTAATTACAAGAGCTTCCCCCTATATAGGGCTGTTAAGGACACTGAGATTTCATCTTGGGGGACATCTGGCAATCCTTTGCTGTACCTGCCCAGGAATAACTTAATGCATTGTAAGAGTTAAGCAACTCATGACTTATTTATTTCCTACGTCTGTAATTCATCCTTTCCCAAAATTGCTCAAAGCCAGATTCTATCTCACAACAAATCTTAAATCTCTAATTTGTGCGTTTTACTCAGGGGTACCTTTACCAATGTTGTGTCTAGTGTGAAGAATGGAACAATTTCTTTTCAATCCAGGACTAACAATATGATTTGTGGCTTTGCAAACAGAAATTTCAGTAATCATAGTGCATATCCTTTGGTGTTAACATAAGAAAATTCTTGTGAGAAAAACCAACAGCTGAAGTAGTCCAATATCAGTTTCTGAGAAACTTCTCAGGAACTTGCTATATCTGTATGTCTCTCTCTCTCTCCGCCTCTTTCATCTCTCTCTCTGTCTCTATTTCTATCACTCTGTCTCCAGACTCCAGATTTGAGCAATTTATTCTTGCTCTTCTGTTCCTTGCCATATTTTGGTAGATGTTCCATAAATTCCTATATCTTTCAAACATGGTAATGATATACAGGATTTCAGTAGATTCCTTCTATTTTTGTTTGATCTTATTTGGACCTGTCCCACTGACATCCTTTTGCATATAATTTCAAGATTGGAAACTTTTTGTGAATCAGAATATCTTGTTAAAAACTGTTGTATTTACAGATATCTTCTTCTCTGCTTGGCAATTTCCACTCTTGCTCTGACCTCCAGTTTAGTTTATTCTGTTTCTTGATTTTGGTAGTCTGTTTTTCCATTCATCCTTAACAACCTATTTGATTTAATTCCAGAATTGTTGCTTTTCTATCAACCACCCTACCTGAAAATAGTGGGTAAAAATTGTATTGGGGAAACTGGTTTGCTTTATTCTATTTTAGTGTGACTTGAAACTTGCACATGAGCTGTTCATGTGTTGTCCACAGTTGGCTCCTGGATGTGTCTTTGCTGTTATAATTGTGTTCTTCCCTCTCTTTGTACCAATAATTTTATTTCTGGGGCTCTATGTCATGATCTCTATGTATATAGACATCATTTTGGTTGTTTGAAGCAAAGAAAAAGACCACTGGATTGGCAGAAATGGATAACTTGTTCTCCTACTTCATTTCTATTTTTTAGGACACAATCCAGCTATCTTTTCTTCCATGCTATTTATAAGGTTGGCATTCCAGACTCAATTATATACAGCATATTTTGCTTCCATATTCTGTCAATTTCAAACTGAACTTGATTATAAAACTCACCAGCCTCCTTTTCTTGTACATCAGTGGTTGCAGCATACATTTTGATAACCATTATATTAAAACATTGCCTGCAAAGCCTAATCAATATTATTGGGTAATTGACTACACTGAACTCAGGCACAGTCTCTGTTGTATCTTTTCTGACTGTGACTCTTCCTTCTTTATCATCCATCATTTAATGTTGTCTATCCATGTGGTTTTCCTGGAAAAATACTCTTCTCTCACATAGCATGAAATGGTGTCTTTGTCATTGTCCGTAAAGTGATAATCTACCTCTAGCATCTTCCTACATTGCTGTTATTCAGTATTGGTGTCCGATTACTTGGGTTGATCAACCTAGAAGCTGTTCCTACCCCAGATGACCCTGTTGGGAGTATATACTGTTAGCATAAACTTCAGTGCTTTTTTAACTTATCTCTCTTAAAAACATCGCTGCTTTCATCATGATAAGTCAGCATATCAGGAATTGTGGCAGATGCAACGGGGGAACACCACTAGTATCCAAGTAGTAATATTGGCACCTTGCTTATGCAGTTTAACAAGAGGTTTGATGTGATGTATGTAAGTACTAAGTAATATGCCCTTTCATACTTTAGAGCTGATTCCTTTATTTATTCTTTTGCCATGTATTATAAATATAATTATTGGTTCCAAATTGGGATGGGGGTGCATACCCATCCATGTTAATAGAGAGTTCACAATAGCTCAGGAGAGTTTAGTTACACAGAATGTATACCTAGATTATAGTTTCGATTTACAGTTTTGGTTTTTGCATTTGGTTGATTGGCACAAAAATGACTTTATAGTTGCTTTGAATGAGTATTTCTATTCAGTTCCCTGCTACCATTAAAAACATAGCACAAAATGACAAATCCTGTTTATTGCATAACAAAGGCTGCATTGGCTATTTGGTTTCCTGGATTGTAGGCATTGCTTGACAAGAACTACCTATCCGACATAATAAAAAATTGGTACTTGCAGCATTTTAATATTACCCTAGCCTGTCTCCTATTTATATAGAAGAATACAAAGGATTGGCTCAAAATAGCAGGAAGCCAACAAGGAAGTTGAAAACCTGAAAACATCAACAGATGGGAATGAGATCATAGTTTCTAGGAAGACTGAACTGACCTTTATTTTTAAAAAATGTTCTGAAAGCACCATTTAAAATATT